AGGCATCCTCACATCAAACGTTTCTTGAAGGGAGCTTCATCTAAGAACCCTCTCGTCGCCCACAGATTTCCTCCCTGGAGACTGAATGTGGTCTTGGAGGCCTTGACCAAGCCTCCTTTCGAACCAATTAAGGAGATTTCCCTCAAGTGGCTTTGGATGAAGACCCTATTCCTGGTAGCCGTGACTTCCGCTTGTCGAGTCTTGGAGCTGGGAGCTCTATCCGCAAACCCACGCCTCTGTGTGTTCCACAAGGACAAAGTGGTATTAACACCTGATCCTACCTTTAGACCTAAGGTCAATTCCAGGTTCCATTGGTCACAGGAAATCTGTCTCCCGTCCTTCTGTCCGAACCCTTCTCGTCCTCAGGAACGTCTTTGGCATTCCTTAGATGTCCTTAGACCCCTAAAGGCATTTCTTTTTCATACTAGCGATTTTCGGAAGTCAGAATCTCTGTTTATTGCAGTCTCTCCACCCAACAAGGGGTGTAAGATGTCCAGCTCCACTATTAGCTCTACTCTCAAATAATGCATTGCTGAAGCTTATAGAAGCTGGTTCCCCCGACAGGTATCACAGCTCACTCCATCCGTAGTGCGGCCACCAGCATGGCCTTCTCCAATAGAGCCTCAGTAGAGGAGATATGTAAAGCTGCTACGTGGTCTTCAGTATCAACCTTCGTTAAGCATTACAGAATCAACATCTTCGACTCCACTGACACATCCTTCGGCCGGAGAGTTCTCCAACAGATCCTAGCAGATTAGATGATCACCCACCCGAAATTGGACACTGCTCTAGGAGGTCCCAGCAAGATGTCCTCCTCTCAGGGGAGAACGGGCCATTGGATACTTACCGTGAAGGGCCCTTCTCCTCTGAGATGAAGGAGGACATCTTGGGCCCTCCCGTTTCATCGTCCTCCATATCTGCTCCTTTTTCCCTGTCTTTTACCTTTATACTGTGCTGCATTCAGTTCTTCCTGTTCTCTCTCTCGTTACAGAAGTTATGATGTTAATTGTTTTACAGTTATCTAACAAGTTACTGCTTTTCGGAGTTCCTAACTGAGTTAGGGGGCGTGTCTCACCAAGAGGACAGGAAGTGAAGTTTTGTTCCTGCCTCCCTGAGGATGGGGTGGGAAACACCCAGTAAGATGTCCTCCTTCATCTCAGAGGAGAAGGGCCCTTCACGGTAAGTATCCAATGGGCCGTTTTCTTTCATTTCTGGTAACACATTAATCTGTGATTAGGTAAATCAGTCTCTACATTTTCTGCCATTCAAAAATAATTTCATTCAGCTTTCTCGGATTTTGAGAATTCTGCAACTGATGTTCAGTTCTGCATAGATGTAACACAAATATAGACAATAACATTCTAGTTCCATCACATGATGTACAAAACTCAGAACTATCACTGGTTTAAAAAGGGAGGGAGGGTTCTACTTAGAATCTTGCTTGTATTCAAAATGTTATGTGAATTTGGGGCAGTGATCTTAGCAACAAAATATGTTTATTTTAGGTTGGTGCATGTAAATGAAAGTAGTATTACTTCCATAAAACCCTAAGAACTAGGCTTAGGTGGACCACTTGAGCAGGAAATTCCTAATCCTTGGGTTGTTCCCTAGAGCCCTTGTTCTGCACAGTCAGCAATGTAATCTCTCTTCATCTTTACACATGACGTGAGGAAGTAATAGATGATATTAAATTGCGAGAAGGTTCATATGGGTGATCCCTTGGATACTCTGCTTCAAGGTATTTTTGGTTATTACAACGGAATCCTTAGCAGAGGTACACTTTTCTAAGCCTGTTGATTTCAATGGATTTAGAAGGGTGTAACTTGCTTAGGACTGCATGGTTATAATGCAGCATGAGCTATATTGAGGAATTTGTGATGTTGTATTACTGTGTCTTCTTACATACCATAATAGTTCTTGACCTAAAATCACTTTTCAGCAACCGGTATAGTGAGATTGTAAAAGATTTGCCATGCATCATTGTTTGTCTTAGTTGGTTGATAAGATGTATTTTTTTAAGGAAATGACCTTTGATATAGCAGTCACTTTTCTCCAGTGAAGGGAGTGGGTTCCTGTTACAGGTTTCTTTAATAGTGACACTGTAAGAAGGTTTGGTTAGCAGAGTGCTGATCCCCCCGCCCCAAGTTTAGAAAAAAATGGAGAAGGAATCGTCTTTGCTAGGTAAAATCAGTGGGGCTGCTTTCAGTGTTAAACATATTCTTGAAAAAGCAGAAACCCTTCAAGTTACCTTGAAACCAGAGCCCAGTATAGAAGAGAGCAAGATATGCAGTGCTTCTGCTGAACAATGTGAAGAAAATCGTACTTTGTAAGTATCATAGTTTGTAAAATTTCTTGCTTCCCACTTTTTATACAACTGGGAGCCAAATTGACTGGTGTGTTGTAAAGTGTGTCATATTGTGCATTATGAAATAAGTATTCTTCGTGATTTACCAAAACATGTCTACAGGACGTTTAAATATATGTTGACAGTGTATAATAATGCTCTTTAATACAGACTAAATGAATTTACTTTTTTGTAAGTTATTCCTTGTGTTAGAAATACAAAATGATGTGTCACTTTTTTAAAAAATGTGTATTTTTTAAAGCATAAATGAGGAAAATGCCACTTTGTTTTGTGACTGATATCTTGTGTTACTTTCCTAGTTTATAACATTTATGGAGGAAAAATACAGCTCAAAGCCAAATTTAAGAGATAATAGACATGAGCATACTAGTCTCTTGTGTATGGTGGTATTTGATCTAAACATAATAATGAAGTGTGTGCTGATCTGGAATGTGTTGTGCCCAAATTGGCCAAGGTTTTAGAAACTGTGCAGCTCATTTTGAGTGCTGAGGAGATAACAGGACATGTTTCTCAAGCAGCTGCACATGGAAAATTGCTTTTAAAATTTGGGAAACAGTGGTACTCTCACAATCAGTTGTTGATGTGGTAAGCTAATGAACAAAAAAGATTACATTGTATGAAAATCTTTTGTTTCTGAAGTGTTTGGATTCCATCAAGTGAAACCAAGGTGGATTTGATTTAAATTGTGATTTAAACCACAATTTAAATTACTAGTCAGTAGGCTAAATTTAAATCATGGGTTTTCTACATAAAAACTCATTCTTTCTGGGTTTATTATTTACAACCCAGATGAAGGTTTCATTTTTAGTATCATAAATTTCCAGGTTAGTTTTACTATTATATTAGAAAAATAATGATTAATTATTTACCATTTGAAACAGATAATTATGAAATCATTGCAAGGGGAACTATTTCCACTTTAATAGGTTAATCACTTATATTTGGACAACTTTTCTGCTGTACTTTATTGGAAGGAGAAAAATAATAATTAACAATGACAATTTAAAATGTTTAACTAAAACAATAACATTTATACATATATATTCTTTGCTTAAATATCCATAAGGATACACGCACAAAGATCTCAAGACTTCTGCAGTTATTGTGCTCAAAACGTTTCACTTTCACTTGTAGTGCTTGCCCCTCGCTCCTCAAACTTAGCTTCTAATATCTCTATATCGGTTCCATCCCAAATAATTTTCTATTCATTGATCTTCTTGACACTTAGCACTTAAGAGTTGATTTTTGTACATAGATTTTCAAAGAAAAAGTAGGATTGAGGTCTCTTTCTCAACTAGGGTTGCCAGCCCCCAGGTGGGAGCAGGGGATCCCCTGATTTCACAGGCTCCTGCCTGCTGCTGGCTGGCGGGGGGAAGCCCTGCCCCCAACAGCCATGACTCAGCGTGACATCCCCAATGTGATGACGTCACATGGAAGTGGTGTCATCATGCAGTGGTATCATGTGGCCATGCTCTGATATTTGGGGCGAAACTATATGTTACATAAAGTTTTCCCTAAAATACCAGTGTGTCGCTACATGACATCCCCAGCATGATGACATCACTTTTATGCGATGTCATCATGTCGGGGATATCACGCACGGCAATGTCGCTCTGCCCCCCACTTCCGGAAGGCTCCTTCCCACCAACACCCACCGGTGAGAACAAAGGACCTGGTAACTCTATTCACGACTCTATATGTTTATTTTAAAAAATTTGCTCTTAAGAAGAGATGTGTTGTCTCTGCAGACACAAATTCACAGTTTTGAGAACTGCAAAACCAAGCATCTACGATGGTATCTTCTAAATAGGAAAGTTATGCAAAATAATCTTACAGAAACCTCTGGGACAAAATGACATTGGGGGCATAATGAATTAATTAATAGAATTAATTTATAAAATGTTTTAAAAATATACAGTCTCATAATGCAACATTAAAAATTAATCCTTATTTCATGATGAAAAACCTTTGGGCTATAATGTATCATAAATAGAAAGCTGTGTTTAGATACATTTTCCACAAAAACGTTTCATCAAAAAAATCTGGTTTAAATTTTAAAAATCCAATTAAATTTTTTTTAAAGTATCATTGATTTTTATCTGCCCTGAGTGAAACTGTGCTATAATCCAACAGAAGATTTTTCTCTTGTTACCTTAGTGAAGCTTGAGTACTTCTACACCTAGAGTAAACAACCCTTTCTTGGTTATTTTAATTTGAAACATTTTAATGCTGCCTCTCCAGGAACCTGGAAACATGGTCCCCATGTCCCAATATGTTCTGGTTTTGTGCATCCTTAGTGTTAAATTTATACAGTAATATTTTGTAAAAACTTAGAAAAAAATCAAGAATTTAAAAAGAAGCACTTCTGATATGTGTATTATGTATAAGACATGTATGCTATACTGGATCTCAGTAACCTTATGCTTCTATGATTGACGTTCTCAAATTTCTAAATATGTGTACTTTTTAACACTGATTGCTTTTCCTGAGTGTTTCAGAATACAGCATTTTAATTTCTAGCATTCCCCTTTGTCCTCACCCTCATAATAAAAGTGGTATGAAATTTGAAATTATGAACTGTATGTGAACACTTATTTTGGTTTCCTCATCATTTTGCAATTTCTTCTTTTTATAGAAATGAAGACCTGAAGCAAATGTTGGAAAGCAGCAAAGATTCTTCTAAGCTAGATGCTATGAAGAGGATTGTTGGGGTATGTTGATCAGTATTTTTATGTATATTACTGATAGCTCTGAATATCATAAATATAATATACATAAATATAAATATAACATACATAAATATATACACAATTTAATATTTCCAGGTTTAGTCTTAAAATTATGTTTCAAAAAGTTAATTATTGGGTAAGGTTTGTGTAACTGATGCGGTATGAAGAAAATCTTACTCTACAAGTATCATAAGTGATAAACTTTCTTCCTTCCCTTTCTACCTTATCTAAAAACATTTTGGGGAAAAATGAACATATGTGGCTTGTATATTTTGTCTGTATTGTATGATCATGCAGTGTGTCTTGATGTTGGACATAATGAATTTGGATTATTCCTGTTGACTGGGCTTCTGTGGCTTTTCAAAATCATTGTTTCCTTTTGGCTATTAGGGAAAGTAAAGATTGGTCCAGTTATAGCATTCTAAACCCAGGGTGTCTAACTCATTTGTTACGAGGGTCGGATATGTGACATAAATGTCACTTTGCCGGGCCGGACCATGAGGTACTAAAGATATAAACTTTATAAAGACGATTTCAGATGCTGAATGGCACTAGGCTTGATTGGATTGGATGTGATATATAGAGGGGTAGTAGGCATGGAGATATCATCATTGGTAATGAGACAGGAAACCTAGTTCTCAGTTTGGTCCAGGAGGATTCTGTCCAGGAGTTGCAAAGAATAAATGGACATAAGTCTGAAGAAGTGAGCCATGACTCACGAAAGCTAATACTCTACCACAAATTTTGTTAGTCTTCAAGATGCTACTGGAAATTCATGGAAAAATGGGAACCCATACTAGACTTTCTTACAAGAGAAGAAGTTATACCCACATCTTGGTCTCAATACTACAAATGGTTATGAATCCGCCTCACTCTAAAGACTGCATAATTGGAATTAAAACATACTAGGTTAAATGTATACCTGAGGATGTCATGACATCTATCCATTTACTATAGAACTATGTACGATTCTATACTCACATTCTTTTGATATTTATAACGTGTTGTTATGAAATGTATTGCAACCACTTCACAGAAGATGAATTTGGGGGATTCCCCCACTGTTGTACGTGCACTGAGTTTACAATTTGTATGTTGCTATCCTACTTAAGTGTATTTGACTGTATTTCATACTGCTAACTGATGATTACACATGTAAATCCTGAGCTGAACTGAGACCTAGGTTTCTTCTCTCGTTCTCAGTGGCTGCTATTATTGATTGATTGATTTATACTCCAACAAAAGCTATTGTTATGTGGTATCTGAAATCACTTACCTCTCCAAGATATATGGATAGATGGACTGATATTCTAGCTGTATCTGAAAAAGTGAGCCAGTGACTCATGAAACCTCATGCCCTGCCACAAATTTTGTTAGTCATTAAGGTGCTAGTGGCCTCCTCCTCCCTTCCATTAATAAAGATTGCAAGTTTCTTTTCTTCATCTGTTAGAACTGGAAAGGGGGCTCTTCAAGTGAAATAATGTGTTGCTTTCAGACTGGACAAAATCCACTCACTGCTAGTGATGATAATAAAAAGTTTAAAAATCGGAGGGGGGGTTAATGTGAAGAAAGGTAGCCAGTGAGGTGGGAGGAGAGAGAGGGAGACCACATGTTGAACTGGAATATATGGAACTATAAATGTGTTTTTAAATACTTAGCCATCTATGTCCAGTCATTAAACTGTGGAATCCAATCCAAGTGGTGTAATTCCTAATTAGGGTCTTTTTGAAAGAAAATCTTCGGCCCTGGTCACAGGGGCAGAAAAATGCGTTTGCCCCGGAGGAAAATAATGTGCGGTTGCGCGATCAGACGTCCCGTAGAGGTCCCGTCCAGGTCCCGTGGTTAAGGGGGAGGTGCCGATCACAGGACAATCCTGCGGTGCGGCAAAGAAGCGGCCTCTATAGCAAAAGGCTCCGCGGGTTTAACCCCTTCCAGGGCTGCAGAGGAATGCAAACTGTGTCCTCCGTCCGGTCCCCTCCAGGAGGAGCTTCAGCCGGGCCGCCCTTCCACCACGCCCCCCCTGCACCTCCCCCTCTGCCACCCGGTGCAGAGAGTTCCTCTTGAGCAGGCCGAGCCAGGAGTGGGGAGGTACGGAAAAGAGGAGGGAGCTGTGTTTGTTTTTAAACTAAGTGTGCGCATGCGCCGTTGGGTGCTTGTGCGCATCCCGTGGAGACTTGGGAAAAAAACCTTTTAGCGATGGGACATGGGCGGGCGCTGGATGCCACGACCTGCCACCGGAAACGTGATCAGGCGCCCGCCCTTGCCCCGCGATTTCCGGAAACTAGTACCTCAGAGGTACTAGTTTTTTACCCCGCATCTTCGGCGGGAAGCCTCGGGTTCGCCACGAGAGCTCTACGCTTCCCAGATGTGGCGCTGTGATCGCGCCTGGAAAGTCCGCCTATCTTCTGTCTCTGTAGCGTTCCAGATGTATTTCTTTCCTGGCCTTTTTTCTTTCCTTCCTTTTTTAATGTGAGTGTTTGTGTGTGTGATCAGGTCTCAAAGTAAACAGCAGAGCAGGGCTTGCCAGAAAAATCTCCCTCCCTCCCTGTAAAGACGTGTGCATGCACAGGAAAGCTTCTACATGGAATAAAACGTTGTTGGTTCTGAAGATGCCATGGGACCCACTCTCTAAATGAGGTTAGAGAGGCTTGGGAACGCAGCAGCAGCCCCAGAGGAGGAAGCAGGAGAGATCAAAGGGAACTTTTATCTGATGCATGTGCATGCACTCTCTTTTTCCTTCCCCCTTTGCAACTGCAGCAGTGAGAAGCAGGGAGGAGGAAGCAGTTGCTTGTGGGCCAGATACCAGCCCTGCAGGGGCTGGATCCAGCCACAGGCCACATGTTTCGACACCCTGCTCTAGACCTTACCATTTGCTAAGATCCAGAAACTGGTGGACACAGATTTTAGCTGCCTTTTTCACTGAAATAAACAAGATGGGAAATATGCCGGAAGTCTGGTGCAGTGCAGTAATTGTTCCAATTTATAAAAAGGGGGACCCGACAGACCCGATGAATTACCGTCCAGTAAGCTTGCTGTCCACGATAGGAAAACTTTATCCTGCAATGCTTCTTGAATAGCTAGAATCTTGGGTTGAAGGAAACAATATTTTGGGAAATGAACAGGCTGGTTTTAGAAAAGGAGCAAGTACCATTGACCATTGCCATACCCTCCAGTTTTTGGTTGATAAATAGAAGGCATGTTGGCAACTGCCTTCAAGGACCTAAAATCAACATTTGATATAATCTCTAGACCCTGGCTATGGGAAAAGCTGAAGAAATATGGCAATGAACCACATCTCCTTTATTTAATTCAACAGCTCTATAACCATCCCACTGCCTGGGTTAGATGTGGAGAGTTAGGACCAGTGTTTCCTCTAAGCTGAGTTAGTGTGAGCTAGCTCACAGTTTTGAAGCTTCTGGCTCACACATTTTTGTCTTAGCTCAGGAAGGATGGTTCCAGAGCAAACTAATTTATGCAGTAGTTAAAATGCTTGCTCACAGCTTTAATGCCAGTAGCTCACAAAGTAGAAGTTTTGCTCACAAGATTTCACAGCCTAGAGGGAGCACAGCTATCGGAGCCTTTCATCCTAGACAAAGGAGTCAAGCAGGGATGTTTACTTGCACCCCTTTTGTTTAATTTTTATATAAATGACCTCAGACCCTGTATCCTGAAGGAAGCATGTCATCTTCCACATTTATCCAAGCACAAAGTTCCAATCCTTCTGTATGCTGATGATGCAGTGATAATGTCTAGATCAATAGTGGGCCTTTGCAAGCTGATAAAAAACTTCGAGCATTACTGTTATCATGAGGGCTTGTCCATCAATGTGGTGAAATCCAAGGTCATAGTATTCACCAACAGGAAAAATGGGAAGATCTTCAAATGGGACATAGCAGGCCAACCTATGGAACAATTCAATTTAAATATCTGGGAATCCACTTTGAAGTATCTCTTACATGGAAAACACGCTTGGATCTAGCAAGGAACACAGCCTTGAGAGTAGGGAAGACAATTGTAAAATACTTCTACTCATCAGGAGGCCAATTTGTCCCCTTGGCCTTAAAGATATTTAATGCTAAGGTTCTAAATCAATTCCTGTATGGTGTAGAACTTGGATTCAGGCCGCTTCTGAAAAACTGGATTCCATCCAGTATGACTTTTTGCGACGTTTATTGGCTACTCCTTGATGTGTCTCGAGCATAACACTGAGAGTGGTACTAGGCGAATTTAATCCACGCTAGGGCTTGGATTAAAGCATTTCTCTTTAAAGTAAAGGTTTTAAAATCTGTGGGAGGATTGACTCTACTTGGGCATATCCAGGCAGATACACATTACAGTCCGTGGGATCAACTATTTGAAAAGAAAATGAAATGCCTAGGAATAACAAATGATATGATTAAAAATACAAAAACTAAAGGCATTAGAAAACAAATTAAAAAATCTGTAAGGAAATTGGATGTTACAAGTACGTCTTTTAGGGCGCGCAGGGTATGTTCAACACTCCATTTGGGAATTGCCCTCCTGATGCAACTGCCGAAATATTTTTATCAACTGACAGTCCCAAAACTAAGAAGAGCTTTTACTTTGGCAAGACTGAATGTTCTTCCCTCAGCAGTTTGAGGGCAGATATAATAAAGTGTCATACTCTAATAAAACAGACGCTCATATCATACAATTGAAACCATTGAACATATGATTATGGAGTGCCCTATATTCGATGAGTTGAGGGCTAATTTAGTCACCCCTTTACTTGAAAATATGGAACTGCTAAATATGCAAGCCCAGGTGTCATGGCTACTATTGGATACCAATGATCGTGTCACCCTCTCAGTGGCAAAATTCATAGGTGCAATAATCAAATATAAGAGAAATAATACCAAGGTCTTTTAAAATATTTTCTTTGGTTCTGATTTCTGCTTAAGGTGATAGCTGTATGAGCAGTACTAGATAGATAGATAGAACTAGTTAGGTGTGCTGAAGGG